AAAATGTTTTGAAGGAGACAAGTCTTGAGGAGCTCTAGGTAAAAAGAAGGGCTCCTGTCAGGTGCAATAAAGCAAGACCCTCCTGGCGAGATCCCTGCAGCTGGAGCCCACGTGGGGTCTGATGTCGGGATGGGAGATGGCTCCCATGTGCCAGTGCCCTATGGGGTTTTCCAAGTGCCATTACCTGTGACCCTGGAGAAAGCCGGGGATCAAATTCTTCATCTGCAGAGGAGGAGGTGGTAGAAGAGAGAGACGAGGTAGCCTCTGTCACCTGCACCCTGACACGGTCGTGCTTGGGGCCTGAAATGGGAAGAGCAGAGATCACTGAGCTGCTGGCTGTTTTTCTGGCTTCATCCTTGCTCAAAACTGTCCCCTGCCCCTCACCACTCATGGCACTCCCTTCCTCCCTGCACCTGCCAGGGGCTGGGGGAGGCTATACCTAAGGGCAGCTCCAAACTTGGCCCTCCACGTTAATTACACTTCTGGACTACTGCCAAGAGCCTTGCCGCTCTTTTCTCACATTAAAAAAAAAAAAAAAAAAGCAGAAATCAATTAATTCCTTAAACACCATTTATACGGTGTGGGGTGTGTTTACCATGCATTCAGAGATGAAATCTATTATTAAAATGCATGTCTGAAGTTAGCCGAGTTACCTAAATGCTTGTGGAAGGTTTGTTCTGCAGGATAATTGAATGCAAAAAAAAAAAAAGAAAGACAGAAAAGAAAAAAAAAAAGTCAGCGCCAGCTCTTAAATCGCCCTTCTGTGGCTCACAGCATCTGGCACCCATTTTTACTACATGACATCTGCTCAGTGTAAAAGAGCTGGCGTCAGAATGTCTGGTCATAGAAAAAAAAAAATCCCAAATGTAATCAGAAGCAAAAGGACTCTAAGCCTAAGGTTTTATCACATAGTCTCATGCAACATAAATATTTCATTAATTATGGCTAAACAAATGCCACTTTTATTTTCCCAACTTGCAAGATATTATCACATCATCGAAGTGATGAGTCAAGTGCCAGGAAAGCCAGTTTAAGATAGGGACGGCTCAACAATGCTGGGCCTGAGGGAGACAGCGAGAGCCCAGCGAGCGCCAGGCTGTGCCAATCCCTGACTGAGAGCGAGACGGCTGGGGGCAGCGACGTGCCCTGTTAACCAGCAGCTCTTTGATCTGGCTGGGGACCAGGTGCTAGGAGGGCTTCCAGGTGCCACCGGGAGGCTTTCATTTCTCTCAGCAAGAACACCTGCCTCCAGGCGTCCACCTGATGCGGAGCCGGGGATTAAAACCGAAAACCCACCCTGGACACTGTGGGAAAGGGCGAGGACTCCGTGATAAGAGATATCCTCCTTATCACCATGCTGAGGTGGCCGCGTGTCTGAATGGAAGTGTACACAGGGTGGGGAAGGAGGAGAAGCAATCCCAAGTCAGCTCACATTCCCTCCAGCTTGCTTTCCCTTCCCCATAATTTTCAACTATTTCCCCCAGTGGGAGAGGCCAAGATTTACAAAATAAGGGTAAATTTAACCTCCAGGAGCACATTTACATATGCTGTTATTCAAACCAAAATAATGCAAAACATGTATCTTGTAACACAGCCTCTCTGCGGAGGGGGTGCAGTGTTTTCCACTTTAATTTGCCAGATGGGAGGGCTCAGGTAAAGATAGAATCAGAAAGCGAGACATAACAATGGGAAGCAGGCGCTGTTTAGGGCTGAGCAATCCCAGCCACTACAAAACCACGGATGCCTCAGCCACTGAGTTTCTTAGTGCATGAGGAGCTGACTTCGACCTTCTCCTGATCATGATTTTTAACTTGGAGCACTGCTGTGGGAGATGAAGGCAAATCCACTGGCACCCCTGCAGGTACCCCTGGAGGTGCTGAACTGAATGTTGCTGTCACCATAGCCACCATCATGGCCACCAAGCCCAATATTAACAAACCTGCCTAATAAACCTTCAATTATGGAAAAAGAAGGGACTGAAAGTTATAACTTTATTTTTAACTTTCAAAACATACATATTTCCATCGAGGCTTGTTTTGAAATTGAGAAGACAATACATCCAAAGGTAACGTATTTCTTAAGCTGATGGCAAGAAGAAAGTTCCAGTTGCCTCTGAGTCTTTCCCCCTTTATCTCTTCTATCACAGAACTAACGATTCTGGAGTTCGCTTTTGATTTACAACGTTTTAAGAATCTTGCTGATAGTTCTATGATGGCTGTGTGAGAGCGACTAACTCAGGGATTGATCTCCTGCCAAAAAGCAGGAGAAATCAGGAAAAAATAGGAGAGGCATCTTTTTCTAGACATCTAACAAAAGATAATGCAGAAGGCGGTGAGGAAATCCCTACAGGGACAGTGGCTTTCTGCCTGGGGGCCCTCTCCAGATCACACACGCTAGGAGGAACCTAAACAAAGAATAGCAGGCTCACTGAATTGACAAGATGGATGTAGGCAAGCAAAGGCCCGCAGAACATGTGGGGCACAGCCTGAGAGAGAGGAGCTATGAAGGGAAGAACTTCAGAAATAATCCCAGAGGTCCTTTCGCATCTATTGCTTAATAGAACCCTGAAGATGCATAGAGAACTTCCCTGAGGTTGGGCAGGTAAGTGGCGGCTAAACAATGTCAAATGTCTCTACAGCACTGGGAGATGTTTAATCCTACCTAGCCAAGGTAGAGCAGACACGGGAGGCATTAGAGAACACAGGAGAGTCATGTTTTATTGAGAGGAATAAATTACCCTTCAAGGTTATTACAGATATACCTTAAAACATACAAACAAGTGTTCAACCAGGCATGGAGGTGAACATCTGTAATCCCAGCACTCTGGGAGGACGACACAGGAGCACTAAAAATTTGAGTTCAGCCTGGGGCAATTTAGTGATTTAGTGAGACCCTGTTTTCAAACAAAAGAAAAAGAAAAAATT